AATCAAAAGAAAAAAAAAACAAGAAACATAAATTGGTGTACGCGTGAATGTATAGTGGTGAAGTATCCCCCTTGCCAGCCCCTTCTCATTCTGCACGCGCGCCTATGACCACACGTTCCGAATTCATAGATTGTAAGTGTCTTTTTCGTTTGTGATCATTTTTTTTAGCGTCCTGCTTCTCCGCGAGGAGCCTTGGCGATGATGGCGGTTATCCTGTGGTGAGTGTCTTTGAGCTTTGAACGTGAATCTGCCGCGCTACCCGAATTGTGCGAAGTAATTGATCATGCAATTATGACTCTAGGCATAATTTCGTGCAGAATGTGAGCGGAAATATGGTGGAAGAAATAAATGCATGCCTTTTATTGACATTATGGAATGTCGTTTGGTTCGAAAGATCCCCTTGCATCGTCCAGGAAAGGGCGCTCGTTTTTTCTCAGATTCAGCCGCAGAGCAAAATGCCAAATCCTTTGCAAGGTTGTAACTGTGCGGCCAATTGCGGGAGCTAGCGCCTGCAGTGCTCAGGGTAGGCCAGCCCGCGGCACACGCATGCACTGCAGGCAAGATTTTGCCTATCCGCAAGGCGCTAAGAGAGCATGCAAATAAGCTAAACTAGGCATGTTCGTACCGGCGAACGACAGAGGCACTTTCTGGATGATCCCCATTAGGCAATCCGCTCCCATTGCGTAAAAGCATAACCTGGCAAAACAAGATAGAGCTCTTCCTTCTGCCCGCGTACCCGGGGACCCGGGTAACCCGAGTACTCGCTCGTTTTCAGAGCCTAAACCGAGAGCCCTTAAACAAACATGTGATGATTTTTGACGTTTTCTGAGCACCGGAGTAAACTATTAGACCTGCTCTTGTCACCCGTAACAGTAACAGTAAAGTTCGGTTTCCGCACACATGGCGTGACGGAACACGTCCCTGGTGGAGTAACACCTCGAAACCCGTCACCAACATGTGCGCGTCCTGCTAGTCGTCGCGAGTGACGTTCCCTCTGTTCTCATCAGGTAACCTTTACGGTGGACGGCGACTTGACTTGCGCGGGCGCGCTCGTCTCCTCGAAGGACGTCCTCACCACAGCGGCCTGCGCCGAGAGTCTCGCGAACGACGGCAAGACAAAGTGAGTGCTAGTGTGTGACGAGTGTGTGGTGAGTGAGTGCCTTGTCGAGTCGAGTGAGTGCTGTTGAGCGCCGGCGACGAGTGAGTGCTGTTGAGCGCCGGCAACTAGTGAGTGCCTGTTTCAGTGCCGTTCCGAGGGACTGCAAGCTCGGCCGCAAGTAACCACTCTGCTTTGATCTGTGTGTCCAGGGCTCTGCTTGGCGACAAAACCACCCCCGTCTTGTGCCACAACATGAACTCCGAACGCGCACTCGCCCTGGTCCGGGTAAGTAGCCCAACCAACGGTCTTACCGCCCGCCCTAATCCGCAAGCCGCTCCTGTAACCGGCCTCTGGTGCTGCCGACAGCTGGGCGAGCCGATGTGCGACGAGGCCAACCCCAGGTCGATGTTCACGCCCGCGCTGGTGGCACCTGTACCGGATACGCCTACCGCCGCTGGCTGCCTGATGTTCTACCCGAAATATAATGCCGCGCAGGAGATTCTAGTAAGCCTATGTTGGAGGCGTATTCATTGTTCACACTAAAGCAGGTGGTGACGATGGGAGTCCGTAACGCACAAACGGCGCTGCATTCACTTCTCCGACAATCTCTTACAAACTGTAAGAGTAATAATCGTAACAGAAACTTTGAGCTTGTTGGAAAGCTCGAGTGGAGCAACTCATAGTATAGCTGTTTAATTACAATGTGGGTCATTAAATAAACGCCGTTCCATGTTCTGCTGCACCTGAGCTTTTCCACAGACATAAGTTTATTACGATTATGAGCAGCAGCTGTTTAAAACACATTCCCGAAAAAGTGAATGAAACGCGTTTTGACGAATACACTTGCTCAACTTGACCGTCTGTTGCAATGCAGGCGTTGCCGCAGCTAGTGACTGTCGTGGAGTGCCCAGCAGAGGGCAGCAAACGAAGTATCGAGACGAAGGGAAGCAAGAAAGTGTGTGTCAATTTTGGCAATCCTGTTGACATCCCGGTAAGTCCAGAAAAATATTTTATCAGTGCAGCCCACTTTGCATGGTGAAAATTTGAGATTCAAACTAGAACCCTACTACTCCCCCACTTTGGGACGTGCGCGAAGTTGTCACTCGATGGTAAGGGAGGGTCGTGTCCGCGTGCCCCCGCAGCTCATCGGAGGCCTCGTGCTGACGTGCAGACCCGACGAGGCCTTGGCGCCGCCGGTCGTCGGGCTGCTGCCCGCCAGGGGGACGACAGAAGAGGCACCGGTCCTGGAGAGCGCCGTCAACGTGGACAAGGACAATACGTTCTGGGATTTGTCCGGGACGGCTGACTGCAGCGCGCCCAAACCGACCCCGTTCCCCTGCGAACCTACCACGTCGTCCACCGAGGCCGCCGCCACCACCACCCCCACCACCATGTCCACCGCCACCGACACGCCCACCGCCACCACCGCCACTGCCACCGCCACCACCGCCACCACCGCCACCGCCACCGCCACCGGGTCTTCCACGGCGAGCACCGCCGACCCCGCGACCGCGGGCACCCAGACTCCCAGCCCCAGCGGGTCCCCGGGACTGATGGCCCCGCCCGCGCCGCTGCTCGCGCTCGCCGCCGCGCGCGCCCTGACCTTGCTCGCGCGCAGGCTAGGATGAGAGGTCGCCAGAGTGTCTCACAGGCACCCACCCTCCTGTCGGTCTACGCGCCGCTTCGGATGCAATAAAACAAAGTTCACACACACCCTCTGGCTGATTCTCCTCTCTATTTTATTTGGTATGCGGGTGGCATAAGTTTTCTCGCCCGTGCCCTCTGCACGTGGAACGGCTTTGACGTGGAGATGCAGCTCCCACAATAAACACGAAAACCTGACGTTGAGGACAATATTGGTTATTGACTTCGCCGAACTGAGCGACGGTCGCCGACGTTCAAGATAGTCGAAATTTAGGCCCGAATATAAAAACAATCTCACCGTGTTGGCAATGCACAGACTAAAACTACAAACGACCTCAAAGTGACTTTTTCGTGTTTATTTGGGAGCCGCCTTTTAACGCACAGCTGAAACATGGAACATACTCGGAACATACACTGATGATACACCACGAGAGTTCGCTACCTCAGTGGTCAACTCTGTAGGTATGCACTTTCAAGTGTTCAAACTCCACAGCTGAACAGACAACAGTGAGTGTCCAAAATGAACTGACAAGTTACAGGGTACAGCTTAAAAATTTCCCTGTTACAAATTTCTTGTCAGTCCAATTTTGGGGGATTATTTTTTAAAAGTCTTCGAAATGAAAAGAAAAACATCTGGCGGTGACCCCAGCAAGTGTAAGGCCTAGGTAGGCCACCTTGGGTATGACCGCGAGGGTTGGGCGAGGCGCACGCGGTTGTCGCCGAACACGCCGCCCGTTTCGCCGGGCCCGGCCGCTCAAACGGTGATTAGCGGCCCGGTGACACCTCCCGCATCCCGCACCGCCCTCCGCGGGACCAAGCGTCGGCGGCGGCGTCAGCAGCGCCCGAAAGAGCAGGAGGCTGGCCGAGGAACAAGGAAGCAGGGGGGGATGGGCATGGCGGCGGGGTGACCGCGGCGGCGATCGAGCCTCGCGCGGACGCGGCCAGGCCGGCACACTACTGGACGCCGTCGGGCTCTCCACTCGGACGGGTAAGTGAAGTGCATCGCGGGCCTGCCGGGCCGGCGGGGCGGGGCGACGGCGGGGCGACGGCAGGGTCCCGGGGACACTCATTATATTGTCACGAGACTGAATCGCGCCGCCGTCTCGGGTCGGAGGCGAGTAGCTCGGCAGCCGACGTCGTAAGTGCCTCACCACCGCGCCTCGCCTCGCCTCGCCTCACCAGCCCCGCGGCCGATCACAACATTTGTGCCGGTGAGTGTAGTGTTGCGGTGTGAACGTGTGTGGTGTGCGTTCTGTTCCCGCAGCGATGACGGCCGGCGTCGCGGTCGCGCAGGGTCTGACCGCCGCCGCCGCCGCCGCCGCCGGAGCTCGGGAGACGCGGCCCCGGCGCGAGGACCGGCGGGTGCGCAAGCACGGCCTGCACCGCCTGCAGGTGGAGCCGGCCGCGCTGCTGCAGCACCAGCACCTGCACCAGCACCGCCAGGACGCCGTCGGCCTGCAGGGCCGCGGTGGCCACCGCCGGCCGCGCCGGCCAACGCCAGCCCCAGGTGCGCTGGGACGACTTGTCTCCGACTGTTTAGTGTTGACGGAGCGCACCGCGCCCGGCCCGGCCGACCGGCCCAGATAGATCGTGGCGTTATCGCCGTGCTCGAGCCTCGAGGCGGCCAGAGTGGAGCGGGAACCACAGCACTGTCCTGCTCCGAAAACCCCAACGGCATGCAGCAAGCCTTGTACGCGTGACGCCCCGAATGTTGCATGGCATTGCAAAGATCGCGCCTGGTAGTTAGGCAATGCAGCGCAGTCGGTCTGACTGACTGACTGACTGACTGACTGACTGACTGACTGACTGACTGACTGACTGTGACTGACAGTCTCTGGCTGGCTGACTGACTGACTGTCTGTCTGTCTGTCTGTCTGTCTGACTGACTGACTGACTGACTGACTGACTGACTGACTGACTGACTGACTGACTGACTGACTGACTGACTGTATGCGTTTGCATTCACACCAATCACCACACTGTTCCTTTAATGACCAAGACTGTTTGCTGTTGAGTGAGAGAAGAGCGAGATTAATCCGAGTGAAATCTTGGGCGCGGCACTAGACTCGGCGGCGCATAGGTGTGTGTGTGTGTGTGTGTGTGTGTGTAATCCCCCCTGTAAAGCTGAGCCGCTGGCGGCCGCTCTCTAGTGTTTCAGACGCCGGCGGCGCGCGCGGACAGCCCCACCGGCACCACTTCCTACACGGTCAAGCGCTTCCTTGTCATCAAGTACGAGGGCGACGACAACGGTGAGGAGACACCCCGAAATAAGTGGCTGGATCGCTGATCGCTCACAGCTAGCGCCGCGCAAAGTCCCCCCAATCGCGTGCTTGTCGCCTCAGACCACAACATGCCCCCCCCCCCCTCTCCCTCTCGGGCGCATGTCAGTGTCCAAGGCGGAGGAAATCACGCGCTCCTTGTTAAAGAGGGCGTGCCTCCGCTCCGAGCCCCACAGTTAGCGATTTGAACGTCCGAAAATTTTCCGGAAAACCTCGTAACTATTCTATAGGAAAAGTTAAAACTTTTCTATAGATTTTTTTTCAGAAAACGGTGGAATTTCCTAATTATTTCTTTTATTCTTGAAATTCTTTTCAAAAATAATTTGCCGCAACATTAAAATCCCTACTCACAGTCTCACTCCTCTGTCCGCAGGGCCTCTGCCGCCGTCGCCGCCCCCGCCCCTAGCCGCGTCCTCCGCCGCCATGGAGCAGCAGCCGCCGCCGCCGCCGCCGCAGGGGGAGGCGCCCGTGCCGCCGCCGTCCTACGAGAAGGCGGCCGACAGGGTGGCCGACTACGTCGCCAACAACGGCGCGCCCGCGGCGGTGCCCGCGGCGGCGCACGGCAAGGACGCTCCGGGCAGGAAGATGCCGCGCCGGGGCTCGGTGCACCCCGCCGCGCACGGCGACTCCGCCGCCTCCTTCCCGGAGGACGAGCACGGCGACAAGTGCTGCTTCACCATCATGTGCGGGTGAGGAGGACAAAAGTAATGCGTCCATGGCAAGTTCCAAGCGAGGGATACCTCACCGAAAAACATCAGAGTGCACGCTTAAAACAATCAGACCAAATCAAAGAAAAAGAAAAATCAATTTAAAAAATCAGACAAAATCAGAGAAGATAAAAGGGGAAAAAATAACAATAAGACGTAGAGGTGAGGGCGCAGTTTGGTCAGA